AAAAAAAAAAAAAAAAAGATCCCAGGAAAACTGTCCCTTATCCCCATTCCAATTCCTAGAGACAGTAAGCAACCAGCCTGTGAGAATGCCTTTCATGTGCAAACAAACCCATGCCCATTCCCCAACCACATCTCCTTTATCAGGCTCTCACAGGGTCTTGCATTTGGGTCACTATCCTGTGTCCTACTGCTTCTAGACCAGGTTTCAGTGCACATGGACAGCCCCTAAGTCCCAGAGCAATCTAAACTCTTCAAACTAGCCAATCCTCAACCTGCCTAGCCTGCTTACCCTACCTCACCATTCCTTCCCAAGAAAACCAAAACAAGGTCTCTTGCCCATGCTTCCCCAACTACTTCCCATGTGGCCTAGTGTTGCCTGGTGTTTCCTGGGGGGAATAAACTATCTTCCCAATTGGTCTTCCAATACCCGAATAATAAAACCTACAATTAAAACAGTCTCCCAAATTAAACCAGAAGCAATCTGAATACAAACTCTCTTTTGAATAATTGTTAGAGTAACTCAGTGTTTTCTTCACTTCAAGGTTTAAAAAATATTTGTTGAATTAATTTTAAGCTAGTCAATAAGCTTAAATAAAGCTTCATTCCTTGATCTGGGTTCACTTTGGGGTTTACTTTGTGTTGATTTTCAAACTGCTCCCAAACATATATTCGTCTTTTCAAGTGAAAGTGTAGAAGTGCATGGCAGAGCAGTATGGAGTGGTCAAGTTATCACTGGTTCCTTTCAATCATGCAAGCTGACGCTAAGCTGAAAATGAGAGAGTCCTTGCTTTCTAGTTTGCCATGACAATGACAGTATTTACTCATAAATAAATACTTATAAGGATACAAATATTTTTTAAGGGTAGAAACACTTGCATTACAGTGACCCCAGGGATTTCAAGGGTCTTGAGTAGACTAGCTGGAGCATCCTATGTGATGGACTGTGAAATACATAAGCAGGTACAACCAAGAGATGGAGCAAGGTTGCTTGGGAGAGAAAAGAGCACTGGGCCATGAGGACTTAACGCCTTGGATTCCATTCCCTCTTGTGAAACCACCTCTCTGCACTACAGGACAAATCACACACCCAGCTGCCAGTCTCAGCTGTCACATCAGGAAAATGGAGGAGGGGGGCAGAACAATACATTTATAAAATTCCTTCTGTTCACTAAATTGCTGGTGTTCTAAATTATGACTTTGAAATGGAGCTATTTGAGAAGGAAGGAAGGGAAGAATGAAATAAAGAAGGAAGGAAGCAAGCAAGGAAGTTAGTTTTGAATTAACAGTGGTAAAAAATTGAAAATGAGTGAAGCATCCAGAAATATAGGAATGGTTAAATAAAACAGGCTACATCCACATGATAGTATAGTATGCAATTATTTAAATGATGCGAATGAAAAGTTTATAATGCTTTGGGGAAAGGCACGAATATTACGGAGGCCCCGTGTGAGCCCTGGTTTGCCAGCACTCTGCTAAGCTCCCCTTGAACTAGCTTTTTCCCACAGCTCTCAGGATGGCTGACATCATCCCCATGAAATGTCCCGCTCAAGATTCTACAGAACTGCACTAATTAATCAGAAAAAGAATGGTTTACACAATGAGTCCATCTGAGACACATTCAGATTGAAATGACATCTTGATCCCTCCACATGGAATGTCTATTTTCCCCCAAACATGTTGGTGGCTGTGAGGACTCAGTTCCCACCACTAGGGTGTGCCTTCCCAACTTCCCAGTTGTACACAGGTGGGTTACAAGAACAATAGGACCCCTGGTTCTTGCACCATAAATCACGAAGAAGGGCTTCATGCATGCTTTACCACTGACCTATACCCCAAGCCTTTTAATTTTTTTATTTTGAAACAGGACTCGCTAAACTGCCCAGGCTAACCTTGAACTTGTGCTCGTTCAGCTTCAATCTCCAGAGTAGCTGGGATTACAGTATGCGCCCCCCACTCCCTAAAAGTATACATTTTAAATCTCAATGCTCATTTCAGAAACAGCAAAACAACCCCTATTACATTCCCTGTGTTCCATTTCTTTATTTCCTTCATTCACAAGACTTTATCAAAGCTGCTTAAATACATAAGATATGTCCAATTTGGGGCATAGGTTGTGGCTCAGAGAAAAAACACTCGCCTGCCTAGTATGCATGAGACACTGGATTCCAACCTTAGCACCACATAAAAACAAAATAAAGGTATTATGTCCACCTACAACTAAAAAAATTAATGTTAAAAAAATCTCCAATTCAAAAATTGGAAAATGATGCAGTGGGTGCTACCAGCTAAGGCAGTATGATAGCATTCACTTAGGAAAATCCATTTGGGATCATTTTGTTATTTCTGACTCAGCCATTAACTGAGGCTAATCTGGGATGAAAAGGGAGAAGCTATCTTACTATAAATCCTGCTTTTCTATTCCTCTAAGTAAAATGTCTGACTCAAAAGAATTTTTTAGAAAGAAGAATGCAGAGTTGGAAATGCATGATTTCAACCTCAAGAAAAATTAAAAAAGGTAAACTAACACCAAAATTTAAGCATCAACTTATGAATGGTGGTTAATGTGAGGTGATTAAATTTTTCTTTTTTAAATTAAGTTTTCTTCTCTGTACTGTATTTACTAAATTTCCTACCACAGGAAGTAAGAAGAGAGGTAGAGAAGAGGTGAGGGACAGAGACAGATACAGAAATTACTGGTGAGAGTCTCTAAAGCGCCTCTCCGGAGCACAGCTGTGCAGGGCCCCCTGAGTTGTCTGGAGGTTTCTTCTGGGTGCCCGAATGCTAGCTTGACTGTGCTCAGGCCCTACCCTGGCTCTCACAGCTGACCACTTCCCACTCCATTGAACACACATGAGCCTGTCACTTTCGGTTCCACTTGATTTCCACTTATCCTTCTGGCAGGGTGCCACAGAGTCCTCTTGGCAACCTTCACACTGGTTTCCATGGATACCCTCTACTCTCAGACAGGCGGCTGCTCAGAGCAGATGGCCGTCGGCATTGGGTGGGGAACAGGCTGAAAGGGCATCTGAATCTCGGGCACTCTGAATCCTCTGTTTGTCCCTGTCCCTAATACACCACACACACACACACACACACACACACACACACACACACACACAAGCATAAACACACCATAGTCATGTTTAGTTCTGGCCTTGACAAGGAACTCATCACATTTCAAATATCACAAATACTATGTATGACAATTGCTAACATTTGTGGAGCATCTACTCTGAACCGCATACCTTGCATACAAGGGAAGAAAATAATTTACCAGGATAGTTGAAGGAGTTCAGTGTTTCTGACCCCATTCTGTGGGGCCAATTCTTTTTTGAATTAGTGTACACTATTGATGTGTGCAAAAACAATTTTAGAAGAATATTTAAATTTCAGGTTCCTGGAAAAAGAATTTGAAGCTCAGAGATTTGAAATAACTTCACCAAGGTGAAACAAATAGTAAATTTCTGAGGCTGGGATTTGAGCTGATGTTTTCTGATCCCAAGACATTTGGTTGATCCACTGCACTGTGGTTAACAATCAGTAGCCATGGCTACAGCAGTCCCCACTATTCACTGAGGACATGTTCCCAGACCGAAGAAGAAACTGCAGACTGTGTGGGGCCCCACATATACTATGTTTATTTTTAAGTATACACACCTATGTTAAAGTTTAATTTAAAAATTACGTAAGGGAAGGGTCCCAGCCGGCTTTCGGGAAGTTACACCAACAGAGGCATTGTCAGACGGCTGGGGCACCTGCCCTCTGCTGGCCCCAACAACCTCATGGCTGTGTTTCACGATGAGGTGGAGATCGAGGACTTCCAATATGACAAGGACTCCGAAACGTATTTCTACCCCTGTCTGTGTGGGGATAACTTTTCTATCACCAAGGAAGATTTGAAGAATGGGGAAGACGTGGCAACGTGTCCTAGCTGCTCTCTCATTATAAAAGTGATTTATGACAAAGATCAATTTATGTGTGGAGAAACAGTCCCAGCCCCTTCATCCAACAAAGAATTAGTTAAACGCTGAAGAAACCTTCAGGAATCCACATCCTGAACAGTTGAGAATGAGCCCAGGTGGAAATATCAAACGCAGAGTAACTGATTTTTTTCACGGGGACAATTGTTTTGTGGTTTGCCATTCTGTTAGCGTGTGGATCTTTTCACCAACTGCTGAGTTCATCTTCAAATAGAAAAGTGAGCACCTGATGAGTCATACCTGGATTTCATGTTTAGAATGTTGAATTGGAAGCATTCTTAATTATCCATCTGAATTGAAATGAAGATAATTTTACATCAGTGCTTTCTTTCCCTTATACTTTAAATCTAATTCAGTATCTGATAACAGCATCATCTACCTCAGTCATTAGGATTTCTTAGTTTAAAAGGTATATTTTTAATTAGTTACCAATATGGTTAAAATTAGCCCTTTCTTTGAAATTTGACATCAGCTTTATTACTCTAACTTAAAATTTGTTGCTTCATCAGTACTGCACTTCCAGTTCCCTCACCAAGCCAGTCTCCCTAGTCTTGCTATTATTAGAATAGCAAGGTTCAGGTTCTGTTCAGTATGTTTTTTCTGTTACACTTCATGCACAGAGTTCTATTGTGGTAGTGAATAAGGAAGGTTAGTGAATAATGAAGAAAAATCTACAGTGAAATGATTGAAGAAGTGGAGAGTCCTTATGTTCCTTAAAAATCATGACAAGATTAAAAAAAAAAATCAGAAGGAAGCAAAGTTAACAATGAGAGGAGTTAAACATGCCAAATTAGTAAATGAGTGTTTTAATTATTTTACCAGATCAAAGCACATATTGTTGTATCTTGATTTTTGTTTATTTTCTGATAAAACTAATGAAATTGCATTTCATAGAGAGGTTAATGCCAAGTCTCTGTGGCTAGTTCCAGTGCTTTTAGCCTATCACAGTATTGTGTCACTACTCCTAAAAAGTAAAGCATCTACAATAGAGAATGAACTTAAAAATGGGAGGCCTGTTCTGAATAAATATGTCCATGTGGATACATCTAATAAGCCTCTACAGCATGCAACCAAACCAAACATGCACTCCTACAGAGAAATGTTGCTAGGGAGTAAGAGAAATATATGAAGATAGACTATTAGTCTTCCTTTGCTAGAGTGCTGAGAGTAGCAAGAAGTTAGAATCAAAAGAAAATTGGAAAAAATTTCCATTATAAACACAAGTTTGCTGTCTGTATGAAAATGCACTGATATCTGGCAAGTTGTTTTAGGTATGGCTCCTGCAATTAGAAAAGCTTCTTAGAGTATGGGTGTTCTATACTGGTTGATAAATAAACTACACACAATCTTTGGAAGTTTAAATTAAAACAAGTGGACTTAAAAAAAAAAATCTGGCAGTAGCATGGCTGTATGCAACCATTAGGCTGAGACATAATAAATCAAAAATTATATGCTAGATATACTTCATACATTATATGGCATATTTGTGAAATGATGAGAAGTCTCACTGCTGCTTGGAACACTGTCAGCCCAGAAGTAATCCACACAACTTTGAAAAGCAAAGTGACTGCTCAGATGAACAGAGCAGGATACAAATTAACTCTAGTGGGCAGTGACCTGCAAAGAGAAATGAACTGTCTCAACCTCATTTTAGATGGTACTAACTATATATAAACTTTCTCTGCTGCCAATGAATTTCAAGCAAGAACAGACATCCTTGGTGTGGGTCTACAGTGAGCATAGAACAGGAAGAAAATGTGCCCAAGTTCAAACATCCCAGGAGAAAAGAAATACAAACATCATTGGCAGTCAGTGATTGTTGATAATGCTGCAATAATAGCAATGATTTTGTTTTAAAGCAACTGTGTTGTTTAAGTTTGAGAACTACAACAGACCATACCAGGAATTAACTGTATAGTAAGCAGAAAGTAAAACCAAGGTTTTTCAGGTATTATTGGATTTCTGAGTGATGCTTGTGCCTTATTTAGCCCCACAGACATTTGTGGAGCACCTCTGTGAACTGATTTAATCCAATCTCTGTCTGATTAGCTCTGGGTCTTGAGGCCAGGCCAGTGGATCCCTCACCTGTACAGGTATAGGAGATGGGATCAGAACATTTTCAGCTATCAGTTCTCATTTCAGGTGTGGGGGATTGCCAGAATGGAAAGGGCAATTGAAACCTTGATAAACTCAAAACTTTTGAATCATGAATTACAGGGAAACTCCCAATTTTCATCAGCGATGTTACCAACTTCTGAGTTTGAAAATTAAGTCGGCTGTTTGAAGGATCTACATATACTTTATACATTAAAAAGCATTTTTCTTGGATAGCACAAACATTTTTATAACTACATATTAATTTATTACCAGGATAAATTGTATTGGCGTGCTAAATAAAATCTGATAATTAAAAAAAAAGTAAGGGAATAATAACAATACCTAATAAGCACAGCAATGATAATATACTGTAATAAAATTGATAGCATCACTATCCTTGTTTTTTGGGGTCATTAATGAGTAAAATAAGGGTTACTCGTGACACTCCCCACAGTCAATCTGATAACTGAGACACCTACAAGGAATTAATAGGTAAGGTGGTGTACAGTTGGAACATGCTGGACCCTGGGCAAAGGGATGGTTCACATCTTGAGCAAGATGGAGGGGGATAGCGTAAAAGTCATCAAGCTACTCAGAAAAGCATGTGATTTAAAGCTTATGAATTATTTATTTCTGGAATTTTCCACTTAATATTTTTAGACCAAGGTTAACTGCAGGTAACTGAAACCATGGCAAGGAAACCATGGATGGGTGGGGGGGGGCTCTACACTAATTTCCCTTGATTGCTCACTTTTTCTACAGAACTTTTCCCTCTCCATCACCAACCCCATTCCTAAAGATATTCATGCGTCTGCTGATTTGTCCTTTCCCCTCTCCCCAGCTCCAGGACCAATACCAGCACCATCTTCATTATCATTACTATCACCATCACCATCATACTTCCCCTTATGATTGAAGTAGAAGCTATCACAAAAATCAGGATGTCCCAAGCCCTGGACCTCTAGTCATTTCCCCAAAGTCTAGGTATGTCTTCTTCATAAGAAGAGCTTAACAAGTATGAACTGACTGACTGAATGAATAAATAAACTAACATTCTGCCAAAATTCCTTCATGGACGCAGATTGGGACAGTGGTTATAAAGGTTATAAAGTATCACCTTCTCACAAATGCAGTCTAGATTAGGAGGATTCTGATGTGCTAAAAGGCACCCCAAAGAATGGGGGTGTTAGATGAGATTCTCAGCAGCTAGAATGAACAAACCTCTCACCAGTCCAATCTCCTTTGGAGCTACATGAGGCAGGTGCTTCTTTGAGGAGTCCTAAGTCCCCCAGGATAGAGTGATACTCTTGGCTGTGATACTCTTGGCTGCTAGATTCAAGGCAGATTGATTACTTTCCCTTGATTGTTTTAATACCATTTATTCCTTGTCTATTTGTTTTAAAAGCCTTGTTCTAACTCCCAAGAGAACCCCATACAAAATGGTCACAACAGCCAGAGACTCATATTATTTCATAATGGTGAATCCTATATCTTGTATTCTTGGTTGCCATGAGAGATGGCTTGCTTACCCATTATACATAAAGACAAAGAGGCTCTTACACTTACATAGCTTCCGGCTGCTTCTCAGCTGTAAGGAAACAAGAGAGTGACTATGTCCATTTAGTAAGGTTAAATGATGTGCTGAGTAAGGCCCAGTCAAACCAACTATTCTCAGGCATTTGTTCAGGTATTATTTGCTACTTAAATACAAAATCTGAAACCTGGCAGCACAGTGTTCTCTTCTCAATAGCAGAGGTCAGAAATTGGTAAAATATGGCCTGCAAGCCACATTCAGCTCTCCACCTGGTTTTGTTTAGCCATGAGCAAGGAAAGGGTGTTTATTTGTTTGATTCTTTGTTTGTTTTGGCAGTACTGGGGATTAATCCAGGGCCACCCACATACTAGGCAAGGGTTCTACCACTGAGCCCCAGCCCCACCCCCAAGGAATGTTTTTTGTGGATTGATATTTGCAATAAATTTAATGAAAGTCAACACTAATTTTGAACCCCAACTCAGCCAATGTTACTTTCCTAAAAAATCCATTCTTCTCATTAACAGACCTATGTTACATAAAATTATTCCATTATTATCATTATTTTTAATTTTGTCACTAAAAATTTTTGAGAAATTTGTTTTCTCTCTAATTTTATAAGTATATACATAATATTCTCAATTTTGCATGTTGGCCTACAAAGCCTCTAATATTTACATTCTATCCCTTCACAGAAAGTTAGCCCATCCCTGGTCTAGACTGAAGCTACCTTCCCAGACTCATCCCTGCCAGGTCAGTCCTTTCCCTTGGAACGCTTGTCATATCTGAAGGTCTGTGGCTCCCCATAGGCAAGCCTAATTCTCCATGCCCAGCAGCCCTCCTGACTAGAAAGTGCCACCTCACTGCCTGCCTGATTATTTTGTTTTATCTACTGAAACCAGAAGGCTTCCTTGATGCTTCAAGTCAGAATGGGTAGGATGACTGCTCAAAAAACACAAAAAGTCCTGTAAGGCTTAACCAAGTTTGCTGTAGGTCAGTGTTCACATTGTGGCTCTCTTCCATGTTAGACATGTCCAGAAGTGTCTCTGGACAGGAAGCTACATGGATACAGTAGGAGATTGACAAATGTCTGCTTCAAAGTGGAATAACCTATTGGAAATGAATAATGAAAAGCTAACCTGACTCCTTTTGAAAGAGTGATCTACGTACCCAACTTATTGTCTGGCTTTTATTTTTGCCAGTGCCTTGGGCATTTGCCTGCCTTCAGAAGGTAGGAAGCGGCCTCTGCAAAGCAAGGTTATGGTGAGTTAAAAGGATGGAAAATTGTGGGTGACTATGTACTACAGGAGTATAGTTGAGAAATGATACTCCATCCTTAGTGACCTTGATAATACTCTCTTCTCATGTCACCAGGCTGTGGGGTGTGGCACTGGTGGGCAACGATACTCCCATTGACAGGCCTACTGACATTTCTCTCCCACTTTTATTATACTTTTACTCCTCATTTTCCCTCTCCCTGTGCCCACTGAATAGATCTGAATTGCATATTTAATCCAGTGGCCCACTAAATCTTCAAGGGAGAAATGGTCAGGTCCTGCTCCCCACTGGAGACATTCTGCACACATTGGTTGTGCAGTCTTTTGTGTCTGGATCACAGAGAGGGATAAAAGCACAAGGGTCAAGCACTGCCTTCAGGGAACT